CCTAGGTCACTGGGTAGAGAGGAGAGAAGGTAGGATTAATGCAAGCCTGAAGTATGTTCATGAGAAAAATAAAAGGTATCACGATACTCTAACTTCCTGCATTTTTCTTCCTAATTCTGAAGTGCAATCCACTTCGAGAAGACAAATAAGACAAAATTGCAAAGGCTTTGGTTTTGAACACATAATAGAATGCATATTTAGATGGGCAAATATTTGCAAATGAATAGAAAGATCATCAACAAAATTATTTGGGCTTGTAATTTTGAGGGAAAAGTTGCAAGTACATCTGATTAAATGCACTGAGTGTATTACTACTTTCAGACCATAATGAGTTGCTAATGGATTGATTACAAGTTTTTCCTACACCACAGCTGAAGACTAACTAAATACCCCACGCACAAAGAAACATCTTGGAAATGCCAGGGAGTGGCACCACTTCTGTTATTATGTCTCTGAAAAGCTCAATAATTGCAGCTCTTCCTGGAAAGAAACAAAATGAGCAGAACCAGAATTTTATTTGGAATGAAGTACAAAATGAGACCTGGAAAATGCACCACACAGACTTCAGAAGACTCAGCTATTTGTCAAGGACAATACCTTTTTAAGTTTCACCGACTAGATCACAATATAAAACATTTTAGTTCAAAAGAATGTAAACATAAGACCCTATTACAAGAACACCAAATCTTGCAATAAAAGCAGCAAAACCAACCAAAGGAGCATGACAGTAAGAGGGCTGTAGTTGCTGGATCTGAATCTGCCCAACAGACCCACCAGTGGATGATGCCAAAGCTCTGAACAGCACCTAGCTAAGGAAAAGCCTATTTTTTCAGTCACAGTTTCTCAGAGGAGAATAAGAGAAGGAGAAACAAAGCTGGGCTTTGCTGGGCTCACATGAAAAATGTATCTATTCTATTCAAGGAATAAAAAGAAAAATTATGTTTTAATCTTTGTTTTGAATTTTAAAACCCACCCTTTCTCTAAAACCCTACCTACTAGCACCTTCCTACGATTCACAAAACCCGCTTCTGTGAAAAAAAAAGTGTTTCTTTACTTCAAAACTAGCAAATAGGAGAGACAAAACTATGAAAATACTTGAAAATTTACATGCTTAAATCCCATAAAGAAGAAGATACCAACATTAGCCTGGAACAAAAATCCTGCTTATCCTAGTACAAAGGCCACAATGCTTAACAGAACTACTCATCCTCCCTAACATTTACTTTCCAGAGAAACTTTCTTTCTTCCAGCAATAGTTTCTGAATGTTTAGTCTGTGGTTGTGGACATTTTACATATCAAGGACCTCAAATAAAAACTAACAGAAGAAACCCATTATCTTAATTTTTTGTTTTCTTGGATTAAGACATAACCCACCTCCTGCCTGACCGCAGTAGCCTGCAGTGGTGTGGGGGATAGCCATATAGGACAGTAAAGTAGATAAAATGTATCTTTGTATCCAGTGCTACTGGAAAAATGAGTATTCCCCTCTTCCTGGCTTGACACTGCTGACCCCATTCTGTGTACTTGCTCTGGCACTCATCGGGCCACACAATAAGATAATTCAATTTGCTAATCCAAGGGAGGAAGGGCAAAAAAAAAACCTCAAAACAAAAAGAAAAGAAATAGTGTTCTCCTGGGTTAATGGAGTGAATTAACTTCTCATGAACTTTGTAAACTACCAGAATCACTGCAACAAAGTGGTGCAGCCATGGCGTACCAAACCCAAAGAGAAGGGGGTAACTGGGAATCTCCATGCAGAGCCATTAAGATAGAAGAACAACTAGTCAGCCTCCTCAATATCCATTCCACTCCCTTACTTCTCCTGCACAATCGAAATGCTGGCAGGACTCTTCAGTTTCAGTGATGTAGCACTGAGTACATTCCCAAACACAGGTCTCCCCACCTGAAACCTAATTATGTCAGCAACCTACTGAAATATAATTGTGGCTTTTATTTGAAACCTCTAGGAAAAGCTGGTTTTGACATATGATAAAAAAATTATATATACTAATTAAAGATATAAGGGTTTTTTGAAGGTCAAACACAATTTTAACTAAAAAGATCACTCTACCCACAAATGCATTTGTAGAATAAAAACAGCCTCCCAGCTATTTGGTGGTAGAGTCAGAGAAACTAAACTACAAGACAGAAGTAGGCATTTGCAATTTATTTTAGTATTTTTTAATAGTTTATGAATGTATAAATGTACAACAGACACGCATGAAGTTGTTTAAACAACTTTCTTCCCACCCTTATTTGCATGCATTCTGTTACAGTTTAAGTCACCTAATCACATACTACTTTTCTCCACGACACCTGCCCCATTCAATACCTTAGCCAGACTGTGATCCAGAAAAACATTAGCACTGAGCACTGAAGGAAGCTGCTCTCAGTAGACCAGTGCCTCTAAAATGCATGGATGCACGCAGCAATCAATACTAGAATGGAAGGAAAGCATTACAAACCTAACAGACAATGAAAGGCCCCCACAGGCTCAGTAAGTGCAGTGAAGACATGCACCTTAGAGGAGATACACACATCTAACCCCAGTTCCCAGCTAGCAGATTTGAAGCTCCATCCCTCAGTCACAAACAACTTCCTTTTCTCAAATTGCAGTCTCTTGGTCACAACACAGTCAATTTTTACTACAGTATGCATTTCTTCAAAGAGGGGGAAGTGCCATTGGGTCCTTTTACAATCTCACAAGTGCTAGAAATTGAGAGAATTTATTTGTAGGAAACCTCCTATCTGATGCCTTTAGAATTTTCTAAAGGAAAACCAGAATTTCACAGCTTTTCTTTGCTTTCTAGCTAAAATAAAAACAATTTGTTGTATCTCAGTTCCATTCTTCCTGCAAAGCTAAGAAAAGCAGTGCTAACATGGAAACTGTCCTGTTCAGAGAATCAAGGAGATACTATGGTATCAATATACATTAAATACCTTCTCCCTGCAATGCCAAGAACTGGAAATAGTACTGCAAAATCAATTTCTGCAACTACTCATGCCTTGGGTTTCATTCCAGGCATTTGAGGAACAACTACAACTGAACATAGACTTTTCCAGTTCATTTTCATAATCTGGAGCTTTTCTGGCTTGTATGTTATCAACAGAATTTTTAAGAAATTTTGCTTGTCAAGTCCATTACAGCAGATGAAACTCAATATAGAAATAACCCTTTGTTTTTTTTTTCAAAAGTTAGATTAGATATGGGAAATAGTCATATGTCAAAACCACTCCCCAAACAATGCACTGTCATGCCAAAGTTTGGTAACAACTTATAAGTCAGATGGTTTGTCTTCAAAAGAATCAAAGAAAGCATTTTAATCCGATCCATTTCAAATAACTCCAAGATTCTTGAGATTTTGACAAAATTCTTTGTATCCCCAGCTGCACTACTCTCTCTATTCAGCCAGCCTTCCTAACCTCCATCAGACAAAGGAAAAAAAAAGCCAACAAAAACAGAACATTTATATGAAGGTGGAAAAGTGTTTAAAAAAGTGATAATCTAAGAGTGAAGGGAGATTCTTTGCAGTGTTTCTGTTTAAGTTTTTGCCTGTTAAATTTAAAGTTGAGGAGCTTCCATATCAGTAGAGTTTAGCAAGACAGACTTCTCAGCATCTGGACATAAAGTAATTCCCAGAGGAAATTAATCATAGGAAATCACAGCATATGTAATCATGTCTCTGTTCAGTTTACAAAAACTGTCCCATCCCACATATCATTTTGCAGACACAAGCCCAGGGCCAAGAATGCTGTCACAAAGCCTTGAATGGCATTCCAAAGGAGAAAAGATGATAATCGCAGTGCTAGAACAGGCTTTATTCTTTCAAAGTACTTAAATATTTTATGAGTACCTTTGCTTTCACAGGGAAGAAAATAATTTCCTCCAAGTGCAGATCAGTGGATGCTATCTAATCCCTTGTCACAATAATGCAATCCTTATGTACACACAACTCATCAGCATACCATCTACGTCTCTTTTTTTTTCCCACCAAGCCGCGAGCATTGATGGGCTAATTGCCGGCTTATGCTGAAAAAGCGCTCAGAGGCGGCCGCCGTGCCCGCCCGGCTCCCGGCACGCCCGGCCCCGCTGCCCGCGGAGCGTCCCCGCCCCTCCCGCCCGCTTCCTCCGCTGCGACGCCGCTTTCTGCTCGAAAATCGCCATCGGGTTTTTGTTAGCGCAGTAACCCGTTCGTCCCCACGGCGGGCACACAAAGTGGGCCCGGGCTGCTCCTCGCCACTGGGGACAAAAACCTCGATTTCATGGTTTTCCCGGGAAGCGCTTCGAAAAAGGAAAAGCTCACGCCTTCGGGAGGATATTTTCGGAAGCAGGGGACCTGACTCGTAGGGTGGAAATACGCAATATGCGAAAAGGTGAAACCCGCAGATTTTCTCCATCATCCTTTCACAGAAGACATTATTTTAAGGAGACGAAGGGAAACGCCGCATCCCAGACGAAGGACGTCACTGATTTTTAAATCCGGAGAAACACGCTGCCTTCAGCCCCGGGGCAGGGAGCGAAAGAAGGTCACCCCCCAGAAAAATTAAACCTCTGGAAACGTCTCCGCTGGAATCGCGGAAATCCACCCGCGGGAGGGGGGCTGGGTGGGTGGGTGGGTGGGTGTGCCAGGGCGCCCCGCGGGCGGAAAGGGGCAGGGAGACGCGGGCAGCGGGATCCAGCAGCACCAAATGCCAGACGTGGGATGCCGTCCGCGTCCCGCCCGAGGCGATGCCCCCCGCCACCCGCGATCCCCCCGCGCTGACGAGGGGAAAGGGAGGCGGGGGCGCGGAGTAACCTACGGGCCGGGCGGGGACGGAGGAGGGGGAGCGAGCTGTGCCCAGACCGTGCTGCCTCCCCCTCCGCCGGCCGCAGCCCGCCCGAGTCCCGGCGGGCGGGTACCTCCAGACACAATAGGCACCGGGCGGACCGCGGCCCCTCTCCCCGCCACGGCTCCCGCCCGACCCGCAGAGCGGCGGCGGCAGCATCATCCTCACTCACCCCTCCGAGGAGGCTCGCGCGCCGGGGAGGGGCCGTCGCTAGCGGGTGCTCAGCGAGCCGGCATCCCGCGGGATGCGGAGCGAGGGCGGAGCGCTCGGTGTCCCTCTGGCAACGGCCCCGGCGTTATTCCCTGCACATAGCGGCGGCTAACGGCACCGCGGCGCCGCACTGCGCACGCGCCGGGGCCGAGCGGCCGGCGGGGCCGCGCTGCGCCTGCGCGGCCCGCAGACAATAGCGTTCCCCGAGCTGCGGGCGCTCCCCGCGCGGGCGATGGCGGGAGGTAAACGGCCCTTCCCGCCCCGATCCGCTCCGGCCGTGGCGGGACCGGCGCTGAGCTCACTGCAGGCCCGAGGGCGTAGGCGGACGGGCTGTGCTGTGCGCAGGCGCGACTGCGGCCGCGATCCACAACAAAGGGGAGACGGGTTGCGGCGACCACCCTTTCCCGGTTGCCGGGGGTGGGCGGTGGGCGGTGGGCGGGAGCTTTGCCGTCGGCGGCGCGGTGCATGCCGGGACTTGTAGTCCTGGCGGCGGCATTCCCGCCATCGGGAAGCGCGACGGATTCCTGGCGTTGCTAGTCTCAGCTGCGGCGGCCGACGGCAGCGGTCGGCCACCAGGAGCCAGAGGGACCCCCGCAGGTGGCTCCTCCGAGAGCCCAACGCGGGAAGGTAGAACGGGTGGAACTACTGTCCCCCAGCCTCGCCGCGGGGAGCCCCCGGTGCCGGCTGCCCGGCAGCCAGCGGCGTCCTGATGCGGACGCCCCGCGGGGAGCGCGCCCTGGAAGAGTCCCTGGAGCGATACCAGAGGCGCCTCCGAGGTGAGCGGCACGGGCGCGGGGTGAGGGCGGGCTGCCCCAGCCGCCGCCCGGGACCGGGGCTGCCCCCACCCCGAGGGGCGCCCGGGCCGGGCAGCGCGCAGCGGGAAGTTGGGCTGGTTGTCCCCACCCCCGATCGCAGGCGCTGTGACACGCGCTGGTGTCACCGTAACGCTGCTCCGGCAGGACCGCTGCTGCTTCGCGTGCGGTTTGGTTCGTGTGAGCGCTTTGGCCATCCTTGAAGCATCGGATTCTAGTCGTGGTAAAGATGAGTGTACATATGGACTCTAATGAGAGTGGTTGTTTCCCATGTCATTGAGTGTTTTCATACCTGCCACTTTGTCCAAGAAGTGTGATGTATAGCCTGACAGAGAGCACCTGAATCTGTCAGCCGTGACACCTGGCCTTACCAGCCTTCACACTGTCACTAACTGGGCAAAGGTAAATGTCCAAATAATGAAGAAAGCCAATGGATAGTTTGTGGGTATGTGAACCTACTGGTGCGAAAAGTTGTCTTCTGAGCACAGTACCCCAACATGGCGCGTTGGGATGTTTCCTGTGCCATAAAAAACAACATTGCCAAAAAGAAGAAAGAAACAAGGATAAAACAATGGAAACATTTTCAAATAGCTACTTGATTCTCAGCAAATCTTTTTTTACTTCCTTCTCAAAGGAGCATCAGTTCCTTATATTAGTGATAGATCTCTTTTGTTCCACAAGATAGAACTTTAAGGAATAATTTCTATCTACTTTTCCTGTAGATGAAATGGGCATGGTAATGCTACTTGACACTTGCAGTTAAGAGTTATTGCAGAACAGTTAGGATGACTAATATCAGTGCTGTTTGACTGTGTGAGCCTGTTAGAGCTGACCATATCTAATGGATACATTGGATGCATGTATTCTCTTCATACAACTTATTTTCATTTTGTCTTTTTCTGACTGTATCCCCTTACACTGGATCCATTATATTTGTTAAATAATTTCATAACCTGAATTTCTGGTGAGCCTTTCCCCTTTACATTCTGGGAAACAAGAATTTTCTTTCCATATGATGCCAAGGTAGTTTTGATCTCATACATCTCGGGGTGCCTCTCATGTAGAAATCAATATGGTGATGCACAAATGGTCCCAGTACAGGGTGATATAACCTAAGTTCTGTGGTGTTTCTCAAAGAACCTCTTTATTTCTCAGTGAAATAAATTTAACTCCTTTAAGTTGTACAGCATTTTCCACATCATTACTACCAGTGTTAGGAATTCGCTGTAGGACAAACAGTCATCATTACTCTCAAAGCTGTCAAATCTAATGCTTTACCTATTTCTCTTATATAGTTATACAACTTGAGATTTTTCTCCCCATTGGGATGACCCTGTCATCCAGATTCTGCAATTTTACATGGCATGCTTTGGGCATTATTTGATGCTTTTGAAATAAAGCATTCTTAACCTGCCTGTAATGCTTGACATTATCTGGATGAAGGCTGAGCTTATGGCAACAGCTTTTCACCATCCATGCTGGACTCCAGAAGAATCACTTTACTGCCTTACTCAGTTTGATGGAAGGGTGCTTAAGTTCTCAAAGAGCATCTGATAGTTTCAGGGCAGTGTCCTTTGTTGCAAAGGGAAATCCCTCAGAAGACAGGGAGCCTGAGTGTTCAGTAAACTGAGTCTGGTTGCCAGAGGGCAGAAAGCTGGACCAAAAAAACCTGATTAAGACCTACCTGGTCTTAGAGCTTAACAGAGAGGCTTTGATAAATAACAAAGGTTCTATAATGTAGCTTTTTGTGACCTTGTATAATGAAAGTCTTTAATGCTATGTGTAGTTCTAAGTTAAGAGGGTGGTATTTGTACAGTTGGGGTTATTAGGTTACTGTGTAAACTTTCATATAATTGAGACCATTTCAAATGAACCTTAAAAACTAGGAGATTATATTTCTAATAAAAAGTCTTCTCAAGGGACTAGAAGTATTTTGTAAATGAGAATAAGTGGTGTGCTGCTGTATTCATATTAATAACTGAAAATTGACAGGTATAGTGTGAATTTCCGATGGCCCTTCTACTATACCACTGCCAAGAAAAGAGCGTGATGCCTTCCTGTGACTTTCCCCTTTTCTCCTAACAGCAGTAAATTGAGAAGGCTGTTAAGAGTCCAGTTCTTTTTTTCTAGCATATTTCTGGTTTCTTGAACAGAGAACTATGAATTTATACTTTTATGTTGAGTTTTCTGCCTCTTGAGTGAAGAGCGCTCGCTCACTGAGTCATTTTAAGTGCAGGAACAAAGGCGGGGCAAGCAATCCTTTTTAGGTACTGAGCCTGATACGCTTGTCTACCTCAAGTCTGTCTTAGGTTATTGTGAAAATTACATTCTGTATTCCACTGCATTGCTGAGTGCAGTGTCCTACATAATTTCAGAGAATGGAGATACCAACCCTAAGAGAAACAGATGACAAGATAAGACTTTTTGAAATAAAGTTTCATTTTGTGGCTGTTCTATGTGATTCCAGAAATAAAACAGGAGAGATGGGAAGTCAAAGCCATCTTAGGAGAAGTATGTGGCCCAGTTTCTATCACTACAAGTTAGCTGTTAAGATGATAGCTTGGTAAAAGTTCTGCTGAAAACTACCTATTTCTCATATAAAAAGAAACCAAGAAACCAAATCAGAAGGATTTGTTACTTTGGAACAGCTGAGCATTTCACACATCTTGGGATCTTTTGAGGCCTGACTGATGAACAGCCTGGTCTTGCTCATTGCTGCATGTAAAATCCTAGCAGTACAGGTAGTGATAGACAGGATGTTTTTAGTCTCAAAACTCCCATATAATGTGCTTCTTCCATGGTAGCATACCTGTGTTTGGCAGCCAATAAAGAATGGAATGAAAAGCTGGATGTCAGAATGGGAAGTAAAGTAAGTTCCAAGATGTTCTAAACACAAAACCCCCTATAACCAAATTTTCAGTTTCAGTATTTTTTCAGCAGTTACTTGACTGAAAGATATATGATATCATATTTTAGATTTTTAGCTGTCAATGGAAGAAAATGTTGATCTCATTTTGGACATGAATTTTTTTTTAAATGGCTATGATCTTTCTGCTTTCACTAGCGTGTCTATCTGTTTTGTCAGTTACTGTTTCACAAAAATTTTACAGTGGTTTGCTTTGGGTTTTTTTAAGACCTAAAGAATCAGTGTGATTCCTTCTCTAATTTTCTAAGGTTGTTTGCTGATTTGGAACCATGGGATATCAGCAAGTGATGCTGTTTGTTGGATTTATAGCCAGTAATTTCATGTTATTTTAGACATTATTAGAACTGGACTGTTAGGTTTGGGTGACAGACTTATGACAACTTTTTCATAGAATTGCCATGTGTTTTCTTCAGTGTATGCTGCTTAATGATTCTAGCGGCTGGAGTTATTTTCCATGTCTTTCAGGCAATTCTGTTGTTTTGGATGATTGATTCTTTTGCTCCCAGAGTATTTTCTATGGCATTTCCAAGTCCATGAATGTGGTAGCTTTGGTGCTTTCATTTAAAGGAGTACTCTTTAAAAAGAGTTCTGTGCAGTGCCTGAGGAAACATCTCTTGTTTGGGCAATGCTAAACAAGTTCAGTGTCTTTTGGGTTTTTTTCCTGTTTTGACTTCAGTGGCAAATTGTTCTTACACTGATTTTTTTTTTTTAATTTATTGAGTTTGATCCATCAAATTTGGGTGCTAGCTTGTCATTTTTCATAATTATCTCAGATCCTTTAAACACTGAAAACCAAAGGGCTTAATAGTAAAGTTTGTTTTTGAAGTTTCAATCCACGTCAGTCCAAATTAAATTATATTGTCAGCTGTTCTAGTAGGAAATAGCACTTCAATGATGTTTTAGCGTAGAACAGGAATACGTGTTTGCATTTTATTTTGTAGAGTCTTGTTAAGACATCGAAAAGACAGGTGCTGATTGATTTTGATATGCAAATCATAGTGCTGCATGTGAGCAGGTTTTGCAGTATGTTTTCATTGAGGCCATATTTCTCAAAAATGTACTATTACAGAAGTAGCTTAACTGAAACAGATTGAAATGGGAAGACTTAAAAATTAATTGCTTCTGAAGTCATTAAAAAACAATCATGTTGTCTTTAAGCAGATGTGCTTTGTTGTCCTGTAGTTTGCATCCACAATGTTTTTTAAAATTTCTTTCATATTTAAAAAGAAAATTTTTACATTGTAAGAAAGAGAAAACATAGCCTTTCCGTTCCTTTGTGTATTGTCTTTTATCCTAATGCCCAAAACTGTGTTCCTTACTTTGGAAATACAGAGTACTGTAATGTATTTATTCCCTTTTAGGCATCCAGTTCAACTCTTACTGGAGTGTTGGCTCTCATGTATCTGGTGAATGCAAAGCCACATTATTAGACCT